AAGCCAGAAGAAGCTCGGAAAAACCTTCCAGTAGAAGTCAAAAAAACTGGACAAAATTCCAGAACTAGACGAAAGAAATTTCTGGGAGAAGTTTAATTGAACTTTCTGGAGAAGACAGAAGAAACTTCTTGGAGAAGCTGGCAGAAACTTCCTAAGGTAGACTGGAAAACAATCTGGAAGAAGTCGGAAGCCAGAGCGCTAACGGAACAGTCAAAAGAAACAAGTATACGGAAGAATGAGCTCTTGGGGGATGTTCTAATGATCCAGAAAATTTTCCAAATGGACATAAAACATCCCTGAAGACCCTGCAATGCCCCTAACGGTTTTGAAACATTGTAAGGAATATTCCAAAATTCCTCGGAATTCCTTAAAAGTTCATGAAATTTTCCATGAGTTAACAGGGCAGTTTGGGAGTGCTCTGATCATATTTGAAATACTTTGAACATTCCTGAATATAATGAGACTACCGGAATATCTCTAATCAACTTTGAAGGTCTCTAGACTTTCTTGAAGATTACGAAATCTCTTAATCACTCTCACCATTTTTTTTTTTATTTATTGTAACATCAGCATTGAGGGGCCTCCCTTAGCTCAGTCGGTAAAGGCGCAGCTACAAAGCAAGACCATGCTGGAGGTGGCTGGGTTCAATTCCCGGTCCGGTCTAGGAATTTTTCGGGTTGGAAAATTTCTCGACTTCCCTGGGCATAGAAGTATGATTGGACTTGCCACACAATTATACCAATGCAAAAATGGTACAGGCATCAAAAGCTCTCAATTAATAACTGTGGAAGTGCATCTAGAACACTAAGTTGAGAGCACGCAATAAGCTAATATGCGATATGCAATAAGCTTGAAATGCGAAGAAGAAGAAGAAGAAGAAGCATTGAAGTTTTCTGATCTTCTTGATTTTTCTAATTTTTAAAAATTATCGACACTGCCATTAATAAGCACGGAACTTCCCATAAAGTGTTCTCAAAATGTGCTAATGTTCATGTAGCTTCCCTTACGTTTCTTAAATTTGCATGAGCTCCTCGGAACATTGCTGAAGTTTTCGGGAATTGCCTGAGTTTCTCGGAACTCCCCGATTTCCTTGAAATGTATTGATCTGTCCTGATGTTCTCGGAGCTTCCTAAAGTTCGCTCAATTCCCCTGAAACTAAACTGTCCTGAAAACCATTAAATTTTCCAGAAGTTCTTTGGACTTGTGAAGTATCCAAAATATTTATGATGTTTCCTTAAGTTCACTGAATTTCACTGGACTTTCCTGAAATTTCCGGGTTTTAGAATTTGTAACAAAAGTTATTGAAACGTTCTTTAATTAATCGAAACTTACTCAAAAGTTTTGACTTTTCTGATGTTTCAGAACTTCTTAAAAGTTCCTGCAGGTAGAGTATGGATCCGCAATAGACTGCCAGCGAAAATGGTCATTTTTAATTTCGCTAACAAATCATATACAAAATGTTTATTGCCTCGAAAAATGACCCTATGAAAAATTTTAGCTCAATCGGACATGATTTAGGGGTGGCGCAAACGCGTCAAAGTTTGACTTTTTTCACTCTGGAAAATCTCCCAAGGGGGGGAGTACATGAAATTTCGGAAATCAAAATTTTTTTTTTGATGCCAAATGTCTTAAAAATGCATGAAACGTCGAGATCTGGTGTTATTTAAAAAAAAAATTCTTCAAAAATCGACTTTCTGGGACTTAGAATTTTTTCCATGAGTTCTATATGGAATATAGAAGATTGATGTTTTTTTTTTTTTTTTTTCTTTATTTTAGAGATTTTTAGCCTGAGGCTAGTTCATCTCTTAGGTAGAAGATTGATGAGTCGGCTTCTAAAACTGTTCACAATTGTCTCCAACCTGCTTATATATCGAATTAAACCACCATTTAGGATCTAATACGAAATAATTCATTAGGGTGGTCCAATTATTCTTCATTAGGGTGGTCCAAAAATCAAATTAGGTATGTAAAAACCATTACTTTTTACCAAACGCATGTATCTGAAAATATCATCATGTTTGTGTTTTGGAATTTTTTAAATTCCAAACTTTAAAACATTCGATGATATTACTTTTGAGTATCTGAGACCACGTAAAATAGAAGCATAGACAGACATAAATCCGTTATCCAATAAGCCTTCTCCTTCAGAACGAGAGCCGCTTCGAGTGGTTTCATTGTATGGCAGTATCGCCAACGGGAGGCTGAGCGCTTCCATTTCAGCAATGGACGCAAAACGTGGTCAGCACTCACACACTCATCATGAAACGGTTGCTTTCCAAAGTCGACGACGCATCGACCAAAAGAACTGCTGATGAAGAACAATGAGGAGGACCACACAATGGTTGCTGCCGAGTCAACAGACGGTCGCATGACACACATCGAGAGTGGCCTGCTTCTGTCGACAGCCGAGTGAACACTGGAAAATTTAGTCTATTGCTGAATTTATGTATGGAAACAAATTAGGAGCATTCAGGATGACATTACATCCATTTCCCCTACGAAACCGTTCATTTTAACAAAATCTGATTTCAGATTCAGATTCAGCGATTTAAAATGAAGTAAAATAAGTTATTTCACCGAAAACAGTACCAGATTAAATGCTGATTCTGATAGGATGCTTAAGAACAGTGAAAAGTTGCATACACACTAATCGAGTCAGTACGGTTTTACCGAGTTTTTGAATTGCAGAACTGTTCGGTAAAAGTTTAAAAATCTGTGGAAAATTTATTAATGAGAAAATTTGTTCTGAACTTGTACATACTTAGTTCAGTTAACCCCATTTAATGATAGAAAATAAAATTGGTCGATTACATTGATTCCTTACGGATAACGGTCATTTGAATTTTTACCGACTTTTTCAGCAATTCAAAAACCCAGTAAAAAAATACTGACTCCTGTAAAAAAATCTTAGTGTGTATATTATTACTTTCCCAAAATTGTACATTTAAAGTGGTAGAATACATCGTTTTTTAAGGGATACGTTTCAAAAGTACTAGTTAAACTTCTTAATGAATTACTTGACAAACTACAATGGAAAAGGTTTGTTGAGAAATGAAATTTGAACGATGTAGTGATCAAATTCACCTAAATGATCAACTTCACCCCGTTTTACAGTACCTGACTCATAATACGCTGATTGAGATCAGGTCTCGCTAAAAGTTGAATTGAGTATCGATGCCTTGTTCCGTCGGCTCCCTTGTTTGGATGACAACATGAAAATGGAAGGTTGGCCGTGCACTGGCCAAAGAACCAAAGAAGCTGGTGTTGTTAGTGAACTCGGAAAGTGCAACGTATTCAGAAACTATTGAAGACAAGATAACACATTGCTGCTTTCTAGAGGTCCTGTTGATTTTGAACCACTTCCGAGTTCGAAAACTAGACCAGAATTGGAATCCCTATTCACCTTGTCACCAGTCTATTCCACATCAACAAATCCTTCTTCGAACAGCGCTTTCATCAAGCTCAAGCTTTAACTCAGTTGGCAACGTTAAGCAACCATAGAGTTCTCTTCACCTCGATCTAACCCGGTTCGGTAGATTGAGTAACTATTCTAACTAACATCCCCTAGAATGACCGCTGCACCTACAAGACTCTAGTAGCGCTCGATGAAAGGCATGTTTTCTCCTTCCTTTGCAGCACACTCGGATAACCTTCATTTAACCCATGTAAACCTCTCAGCAATTTAACGGATATAAGCCGACTGGTTCACCAAAAACTTTATACCTGTGACAATGCTGAACCACTGTATTTATTTAATCTAGTACCTCGATTGACATGTCAAATAAGCGAAAGCGATTAATGGGATTGGTATGCGAGTACTTTAGCTTGATTTCACGTATTCTACCGAAATACCAGTGTTATAAACGTATTCGAGTAACCAACGAAAAATTTATGTTGCAATGAAACTATTTTGACCATTGACCATAACGACAAATAATACAAATATGTTTAGTCGTTCTATTCTTAATATGCGAGTGCCGGCAGCACTGGCAGGTCAAGATTTAAATTCAATCTCAAGCTTACTGTACCGTAAATGTGCAACTATGGGTGATCGTTAACAACCGATTGCCGTTAATTGTAATATCTGGAATGCATTAAACTTTTAGTTCAGACCTTCAAAATCAACAATCGAGTCGTACCGGCTGAATCGTAAAATTTTTCGATCTCCCATTAACTCGAGCCATATGTTTGCAAATGAATCGATTTAAATCGGACATAATTGTTTATACAGACACCCATTCATAATCGATCCGATCGAGAAATGTGCCAAAGCATAAACAATCCACCATCGCCGTCACCTATATATGCGTGCATAGCTGTTTAGTACCATCAACACGCACCTTATTCGCACCATCTGCCGATGAAGTGATCCTGATTTCCCGCGGACACCGGTCGGTGCACCGATTCAAACGTCAACGAACGTGTATGGCGTGTACCCGCTATGGTAGCATCATCGGATGTGTACCGACACCTAGGACCGACGCCGGTGCTGGTTGGTGTTTATTTATACTTGGAGCAAATATGACATTTAACGTGCTCCGCTAAAAATATTTATCAATAATTTGAAAGTCAAACCCTAAAATTAGATCCTGTGTGAGACTGTTCTGAACCGGTAACCGGAGCAAGATCTGCGTTTTGACCGATGGAATACGTTTTGCAGCGTGTCGGACATTTCTGGAGCAGGGACAACGGTCATTCACCACCAAGGAAGGGCGCCAACTATGGCTTGAGTTCATTATCACGAATTGTCCTCTAATAACATGTGAATATAATGAAATTATACCATGGGAACTTGACAGTCGGTGGTCTGAATACGAAGAAGTGGTGTTAATCGTAAAGACCTTGCGACGGCGATGACGTGCACCAATCCCATGTTGATTCAATGAATGCATGACACATGATTTTACGATCATTTGTCGTCGCGCGTATTGTTGTCGTGTTAAATACAATATTTGCCTGATAACTCGTTCAAAATTGAGACAATAGTGTTCATCACTTACCGGCACTGTAACACCGCTACAATTTGCTTCGCACTGCACAAAAATCGTTCACTTTTGAAACCCAACACATACCTTCACAACCGGCTCGATCGGGTGGCGTTCATTGTTTGCAAGTGCAGTAAAAACACTTCACCAAGAATGACATTACTAGATCTTCACGCGAAAATGCAACCGCTGCATGGCAAACTGGGATTGGTGCAAATTTTCCCTGGAAAACACAAACTGCACATACACCCACACACACACACTCGGAGGTTTGCGGGAAGGTCGACACGTCCGCGATTAAGCCGTTACAGAATGCGCGTCGTGTTTCACGGTGCAAGCGGTTCCTTCAAAGTGAAATAACAAAGAAATTGCATCGACTGCGATATACACCTACCACACTAGGGGAGGAGGCGCTGTAGGTGGTAAACGTAAACTATAACTGAGAGCGAGAGTGGATGGAGAGTCGGCTTCGTTTGCGATCTAACATCAGAGCAAGCGCGTTGCTGGCCGATGTCCAGCTTTGTTTTGTTTACATGCTTCGCTTGGGCTGCTAGGAAATGCCGACTTCACGGTGCGCATGGATGTAGTGGTGTTGGGATTAGTGTATCGGGTTTGTTGTTAGTTCGTTCATCCATTGGATAAACAGAAACGGAACACATGGGGGTAAATGCCGAGGGTTGGGGAAGTTCATTTTATTACCAACACATACCGCTGAAATGGAGTCACTAAATGATACAGTTTGAATGAGAAAAATGTGTAAAGTTTCATAAATATGCATAGTAATAATCAAATTAAAAAATGCTACTATTTTCAGTGCTGCGATTTGTCATTGTCATTGACAGAATTTCACGCGATATTGACAAAATTGTTTTTCACATAGTTACGGATAGAGTTGATCCTCAAAAACACCTTTATCAAAATCTCATTCATCAATGACAAAGATTCACCTGGTAACAAAAAGTGTAATTTCGTGCATTCTGAGTCACATTATTATTATCTTAGCAGTTCAGGACGTAGATGTTTGTTTCTACTTTAACGGCTGCATGTAATTGCTTTGCTCAAGTCATTTAATTTCGCTACAAATTTAGCTAATACAAAAATCTGCACATGTTCGTCACTGACCGCATAATCACTGACAATTCACATGGTTTGCCTTGACGATGACTGTTAGCTCAAATGAGTGACCACAACTGAATTGTGAATATCGCCGTGTATTGTCGAGATTTTAGTCTATATTACAATTCTAAAGTTTAAAAAGAGTTTTAGGCCTTGTCTTGAGAAAAAATTGTAACTATCATCATTATTATTATTATGTTATTATTATAATATCAAAATAATAATAATATTAATAGTAGGTACGTACATTGTAAACGCCAAGAGAGAGCGACCTGTCATCACAATTTGAATGATTTATTACTCCGTCTCACAGTTATAAAGCTTTAGAATTAATAAATTGGACCAAAATTTCTTGTTCTACGATTTTTGTTAATTTTTAGGCTTTTTAGACACTTCAATTATAGTTCTGAACATTCCTAAAGTTTTCATTTTGCATGTGGTTTTTTAAATAAAAAAATAAATAAAATTGAACAAAAGCATTTGAGATATGTATAGGTTTTTAACATTGTTTAAAAAAATTTTACATGAAGTTATTTCGATTAGAAATGCAGTTTCCGAGTCATATTTATTTATAAAGATTAAAGTTGCCATTTTGTAAATGATACTAGATCCAAATAGCCAAAGGTTTATGTAAATCGGAGATGGTCGAGTTATTTGGTTCGTCATTTGGCGTGAAACTTTTTTTAAGATAAATTGTTCACTTTTAATTTTACTATTTTATTTATTATTTATAGTTCAAAGCCTTCGACTACATGGTCGAACAGACAGCTGAACATTTCTTAATCCTATTCTTATAGACTAATTTACTAATGTTGTAATCAAATACATGGCAGACTTCATCGAAGGAATCGATCGAAATCGGTTTGCAAATTTCGTTGCTGGCGGACAAGTGCATGCAAGCACACATTGTGAAGTATACTGTTACAGTCGATGTTGCCGGTTAAAGTGTTAAAGATGTACAACCTCTGGAGCATCAACCGTCTGCTCTCTGAAATTTGCATTCCAATAAGTGTACACCGTTGATTGTAAGGTGGGTAGGTTGAAGTAGACTCCGTAAAGCGTACCTGACGAAGCGTTTGAGAACTCGTTTGATTCGATGGACATGACGATTATGATATGGAGTCCAAACCAAGGTTGCAAATACTCATTTCAGCTTAAACAAGGTTTTTTTTAAATTATGAAATAATTAGATGCCATGATCATATTTTGAATTGGTAGGATACAAGAAGAGGTTGCAAAGAATGTGTTTGACATATTAAACCTGTTTGTTTCACTTCATGAGAGTCACAATTAGCGATTTTTCACAAACTCACTAACTCACTCACTCACTCACTCAGCGATCAGAAAACCGCTGATTGTGACTCATAGAATGCAAAATTTACAGGTTTTATATTTCAAACGCATACTTTGTAACCTCTTCTTGTAAGTTACAAGTAAAACATACCATCATACCATCTTTTGGTTTTATTATTCCGAAAAACATTATTTTAGCTGAAATGAGTATTTGCAACCTTGGTCCAAACCTGTACGGTATATTCTAGTAGGACCCTTCGGACTAATGAGCAATACAGCGACTTTAAAGTATAAACGTCGTCGATTCGAGCATCGCTTACGCTTTAGCAACTGTTAACGAGATGTGTTCATGAATCCGCAACTTGCTTTTTTTTACTAGTTCATTTATTTACTACGCTCAGTCGTGTGTGACACTTTGCGGAGCCAAAAATCAGTAATGTTTGAATTTACATTTTATCCAGCAGTAGTTCCAGGTTAGTATTGGGTACCAATTACTCGTGGCCGTTAATGGGTAACAATTTCGATTGGAAGGATCTAGGTAGAAAACTGGTTTCTGAAGCCTCCTTCAGATACTACGCTCGTAGTAGCATAGAAACAGGAGGATAATAAGACTGTGACACAATGGCTGGAAATTGTTTAGAAATGAGGGGATGGTAACATTAAGCTCTAACATCAACAAACAAAGGAATTCGTAGATCGCCTACATGTAGGGAAGATCTCGGGTTCCCAATACATCTCTTACTTCACGGAAGGGTTGTCTACCTCGGGCCACTAGGGTATCCAACAGTCGTGCTCTGTCTGCAACTTGCTGTCAAGAATACTCCTAAACCCTTGATCGAATTGATTCTTTCTAAGGGTGAGAGCACCAGCATGTAGTCGTTCACAATTGGAGACCGAGCACGCATAAATGTGATGACTTTACATTTATCAACGTTCGTATGTATTCCATTTTACTGGGACCATATCAAGACCAACAATTGAAATGGCCTTAACTCCATTTTGTAAACAAACCTTGTAAGGTCATTTTCTCGCGAACTGAAGTCCGCAAAGGCAAACCAACATAATGAACAATAGGGGAAATTCTCCTCTACCCGATTGTGGTTTGGGTTAACGAATGAAGGTTTTTGTTCGCGAGAAAATGGCCTTACAAGGTTTGTTTACAGAATGGAGTTAAGGCCATTTCAATTGTTGGTCTTGATATAGACAGCCGCTCATTGTCAGCTTGCAAAGCACAGCAGTCCAGAGGGGATTGTACGGCTCGAATGATTTTCAGGTCATCCGCATACAATATCTTTTCGGGGCACGGAATATTGCAAAGGTCATTTACGAATAATGTGGCACACCCGATGGAATTGAAAACTCAACGGATTTAGCACCATGAACCTTAACGGGACGATAGATACGATTCCAGCCAATTTATGATCCAAGATGGTAGACCAAGACGATCCAGTTTTAGAATGGTGAGTTCGTGGGGCACTTTGTCGAAGGCTTTCGCGAAATCAACATAAATAGCGTCCATTTGTTGCCGCTTTTCCATTCTGTTGATGAGCTTATTGGTATACGACATACATAAGATTCGAGATAGTCGAGCGTTTTATCACGAATCCGTGCTGAAACTCCGAGATCACATGCTGCCCAATCGGATACAATGAGTCGTGAACTTTGGCCAAACAGTTCAGAATGGATATCGGACGGTAGTTTTCTACACTGTGCATTAGACTGATGCAAAATTTGAAAGTTTCGCTCCAAAGTGTTCAAACGGTTTGTTTCAAATCGGGTCCTGATTAGCCTCCGAAAGTTTAAACTCATTTGATAAGAAACTAACTTGGCACTAACAATTTGAAGTTTATATGGAAATTACTAAGGGAAAAACAAAACTTTTTGTTCATTGTCTTCTAGCCTTTTTACATATTGTACTGTTAACAAATTCTATTGCTATTCTTATGGGAATTTTTATCAGCTACAACCTTGCAGAAAATCGTTTTTCAGAAAAACGTCAAATTAAATAGTTATTAATTGTTTAAGAGATTGATAATCTTATGGCAAGATTAAGGGGAGGTTTACTTGGATTTGGCTGAAAAACAGTTGAACTTTGGAATTTTTTTTCAGGAGAATGAAAAGACATACGAACTTCCGGTTTCGATAATTATATTTGTCCACTATTCCTGAATACTTGGAAATTTTTTGAAGGTAAAAAAACAAAATGGCGGCTCGCGTGGAGGAGTGTCAGTCAGGTTTTGCTGCAGAACTTCGAGTGCACACCCTCTGGTGGTGAACTGAAATAAAATTTTTTTATTGTGGTTAAAGTTGATAATATTCCCTATAGCTTATACCTAACTAGAACGAAATCCGACAAAAATTGACCAAATTATGGACATTTGAAAATTTAGTGCTTTTTTTACCTCTTTTTTTCTCACTTTGACCTTGCTTAAAAAATAGTAACTAACATTTTTTTTTTCATTTTAGGTATAAGCCATACAAAAAATAGTATCCTTCAAAGCGCAATTTTCCGATTGTAAATCGGATCATTTGTTCAAGCCCTATGCTCTAAGTTGTTATAAAAAATATGGTTTCGAGAAAAACGCGTTTAAAGTTTTTGTAGCGTCGCTCAGCGCGCATGACAAAGGTTCACTCAAAGCACCATAACTCGCTAAATATGTTTCGGATCGTAAAATCCTTTTGGCCACATATTCTACACACTTGTAGCTTTCATTTTATGCAAAAAATCAATTTTTTTGAAAAAAATCCAAGTAAACCTCCCTTAAGCAACTGTATTCTGGGCAACACTGTATTCTGCAGTGTGACATAGTAGCCATGATTTTTGTCCTCTATTCTACGCGCCATAAACACCAATGTTGCCTGCTCAACAGTTGATTGAGCATAATCATAAGACATCAGTGACTTGAATCATTAATAATTTTCGTTCCTTACATTTGATCGATGGTCTTGAACAAAAATGTAGCTGAGAAAATTTTCAACAAGTTCAGCTATCATTCTCTAAAGTAGAGTGAACTGGTGAATTTTGAGATCGATATGAACCGAAATTATGGTTTCTCCATAGTAATTCCCATATAAACTTCAAATGGT